GAGTTTTGTATTCTTTTATTATGCAACCAGATCAGAGGCATTAACAGGAGTACATTTAAAGAAGGTAGCCTATGGATTACAAAAAGTCTTTCTATAATACATAAAAAGGCAATAATGAGAGGAAATAAGTTCTATGACCTAATACATGATTCTTTTTCAAAATACATCATACTTATATTGATGATGAAGAAAAATCGATTCTCAGTGATTCGATTAGAAACATTGTAAGTAGATTTCACCACTCTTAGGTTGACAGCTACCACTAGATTACCTTTGTTTTAACGCCTTTTTTTAAACTGCAATTTCAGCCTTTTGTTAGCTGACATCAGTAATTTATCAACCGTGGGACACTTTAAAAGATCACCTGAGCCTTGAAATCTGAAAGGCGTCACACAGTTCATGGCACCAGGCACCCAAAGCAATAGATGTCCTTACTTCAGTTTCTGGCCACTTGCTGTGAGAGAAACTGGTGGTGGTGATGATGCTAATGAAAAATTATTCTGAACTTTTCTGAGGACATGGAATATCCCTGCATCACACCAGACGGGGCTGGAACTGAAAGCAAAGGATGGGAGGCGTCTCATCACAGCTCCTGTGTCACTGGACCACTCTGGCGGCAGCGCTTGGCTCCCCCGCGAGAGCTAGTCTCAGCTCTGGACCTGAATGTGCCCAGCCCTGCTCGGGCCAGGAGAAGCGACAGTCTCGGCTCACTGTGCCAGGAGGCAAGGTGAGGAAGGGCTTGCAACCACAGGCCTGCCGCTGCCGCCGTCCCCAGCTCCCAGGACAGAGTGGGCACGGGGCTCTGACAGACCTACGGCGGGCACAGCCACACTGATTAGAGAGCTCGGGCTACAGTCATTATTTCCTAAAATATAACCTGTTACCTGGAAAACAATGGGCTTTCTTCTGAAAATTTGTCTGCCCCCCACAAGTTAAGAAAGACATGAAATTTTGAATTATAAAGGGGGCATTCTGTTTCTAGGTTCACAGCAGATCTCTGCAGAGAGCTAGACTTACTCTGTCTCTATTTTTGCTCAACTTTTCAGTTTTAACTTACGGTTGCACCATAAAGGAAAAGTAATGAATCGGTGCTGCAGCCTAACCCATATGCCACCAGAACAGGACGGAAAGCAGATCCAACACGTCTCCATGTGCCTCCTCACTTCTGAGTCCTCACCCCCGCTCCTCAGAGACATGCTCTTTGTGCAGGCAGACAGCTCCTCTTCTAATCTATTATGCCAGTACACTCTATTTTTGTTGCAATTTTTAGTTATCATTTTTAATCTAAGCTACATATGTAACACTTTGAAGAGTCAACTGGCTCTACAAGGCTTGTTATGAAAAAGAGTTCACACAGCCCCACCCTCCACTTCCTGCTCTCCACCAGCAACCACTTTCAATTCTTTGCACTATTTTTTTTCTCCCTTTTATAGCTCGGGCTTATGCTGCCACGTCCTGATTCTTCTAGAGAGGACTACTCACTGGTCTCCAGGATGGAAGCTGAAGACCAGCTCTGCTGCCCACCGCCGCCCCCGCCTCCCCAGGCAAAGGCTGCCGCCCACGCTCCCAGGGGACTTGGCCGCGATTAACCGTCAGCGCCTACTAGACGGGGTGCAGAGAAGCGCCTGGCCTGGCTCACTGACAGGGTTCATGAGCACCTTTCTGTCTCTTCTTGTGCTCTCTTGGTTTTCCTTTGGGGTTACCATCGTCCAAGGTTTTAATGGCTTCATTTTTATGAAGTTACCACTAATTCAAACTTAAAACTCTCCTTTAGCTGTACAAATTTCTCAATTTGTTTAATATACTAGTTATTCTTTCAACTTAATCTTTATAGAGAAAACTTTCTGGAACCTTCTGACTTGCTCCAATCTGGGCTGGCGGCTGCTCTTCAGATCTGCTGACGAGGATGCTCCACGTGCTCCGAGGATTCCCCACACCACCCTTCTGCAGACTCCTTCTGTCACACTCTGCCCCCTGCTCTCGAACGTTCTCTGTCCTTGGTGTCTGCGCTCGTGTTTGTGGGGCATGTCCTCCAGAGGATTCTAAGAATGGGTTCACGGGAATACACTTGTTTGAATCTTGCTGTCTGAAAGTCACCATATTCTACCCTCACACTTAATTAGCTTGGTGGGGGACTGATTCTAGGTTGGAAGTAACTTCCTCTCAGAATTTCGAAGGAATTCCTCCACTGCCTTACTTCTGGTGCTGCCATGCAAAATCTGTAGCTGCTATACGTCCCGATCCTTTGTTGGAAATCTTTCTTTCCCCAACTCCCTGTGTCTGTGGGGTCTCTCTGTCCCCCGAGTTCTGGTGGCTCTGTAGCGGGGCTTACGCCGAGAGCCGCGCCTCCCAGGACAGCAGCTGCCGGAGCCGGCCCTGGCCCAGGGCCGCGGCTGAGCACAGCTCCGCGGGGGGCCCTCGCTCACTTGCAGGCAGGCCTGCCCTGGGCCCCCGTGGCTCAGTCCCACGGCTCCTGTCCAGGGCCCTGGTGCGCACGAGGTTCTGTTTGTGCCCTCCAAGTGTCTCTGGCAGGTATGAGGTTTATAAAGTAATGCTCAAAATTCTTCAAGCTAGGCTTCACAGTACATGAAGCAAGAATTTCCAGATGTACAAGCCAGATTTAGAAAGGAAGAGGAACCAGAGATCAAATTGCTAACATCCACTGGAACACAGAAAAAGTAAGGGAATTCCAGAAAAACATCTACTTCTGCCTTCATTGACTATGCTAATTAAAGCCTCTGACTGTGTGGATCAAAACAAACTGGAAAATTCTTAAAGAGATGGGAATACAAGACCACCTTACCTGTCTCCTGAGAAACCTGTATGCAGGTCAAAAAGCAAGAGTTAGAACCAGACATGGAAAAACCAACTGGTTCAGAATCAGGAAAGGAGTATGTCAAGGCTGTATGTTGTCACCCTGCTCATTTAACTTCTATGCAGAGTACATCATGAGCAATGCCGGGCTGGATGAAGCACAAGCTGGAATCGAGATTGCCGGGAGAAATATCAACAATCTTAGATATGCAGATGACACCACCCTTATGACAGAAAGCAAAGAGGAACTAAAGAGCTGCATGATGAAGGTGAAAGAGGAGAGTGAAAAAGCTGGCTTAAAACTCAACATTCTAAAAATGAAGATCATGGCATCCAGTCCCATCATTTCGTGGAAAATAGATGGGGAAACAGTGACAGACTTTATTTTCTTGGGCTCCAAAATCACTGCAGATGGTGACTGCAGCCACAAAATTAAAAGACATTTGCTCCTTGGAAAAAAAGTTATGATCAACCTAGACAGCATATTAAAAACCAGAGATATTACTTTGCCGACAAAGGTCTGCCTAGTCGAAGCTGTGGTTTTTCCAGTGTTCGTGTGTGGGTATGAGAGCAGGACCATAAAGCAGGCTGAATGCAGAAGAATTGATTCTTTTGAACTGTGGTGTTGGAGAAGACTCTTGAGAGTCCCTTGGAGAGTAAGGAGAACCAACCAATCAATCCTAAAGGAGATCAACCCTGAATATTCACTGGAAAGGCTGATGCTAAAGCTGAAGCTCCAAGACTCTGGTCACCTGTTGTGAAGAGCCAACTCATTGGAAAAGACCCTGATGCTGGGAAAGATTGAAGACAGGAGAATAAGGGGATGACAGAGGATGAGATGGTTGGATGGCCTCACCAACTCGATGGACATGACTTTGAGTTGGTGATGGACAGGGAAGCCTGGAGTGCTGTGGTTCATGGGGTCAGACATGACTGAGTGACTGAACCACAACATGTCTTCAGCTCCATGTTCACCCTGCTCCTAAGTTCCCACTGCTCCTGAGCTTCTAGAAGGTTTCACCATCTCACTCAAGATGCTTCTTGGTTTTTCCCTACTGCTGCCTTAGCATTCAGCTTTCTGAGGCTGCTGCGTCAGCTTCCACTTCACATCTGCTTTCCAAGTAACAAAATCTTGTTGCTGTTGCCTTCTCTACTGTTTCTTACTCCTGGAGGGTTTATCTCTAAGGACGTTCACTGGCCTTGGAGTGGAGTCTATGAGGGAGCAGAGCTAACTGCTTGCATGAGAGCTGCCGCCATCAGACGAGACTCCCACTCCACTCTCGTGTGCGTGAGAGAAGCACCCCGAGTGAGTGTGGGGTGACCTCTGCCCTCCAGAGCAGAGGATGCTGCTTTAACCTGCCGACGAGGCACCGAGGCCCCAGGAAACTGGGTCCTCCAGTCACACAGACAGACATCACGCCATTACCGCGTCTGTGAGCTGTGAATAATTATCCCTCAGAGGTTTCACGGCCCCCATCTCAGAAGCCTTACTCTGCCATCTCAGCACCCTTTCAGCCACATCCAGACCCCTTTCTGTGAGGCCTCACAGTTACAGCCTCTTCCAGTGGGCAGCGGAATTCTTCATATTAGAATATCGTGCTGAATTAGCTATAAAACGTGATAAATATTTTAGTTCTTGTGAAGGTGACTTAACATTTTTTAAAAACCAGATTTTTTTTTTGGTAATTGATATGTATTAGCTATATGCTTTTGAGTAATGTATACAAAAGGCATTGGTGGCTATCAATACAACATAATTTAAATATAATTTGTACAACTTTTAAAAACAATTGGTAAAATAACTTTTTAATTTTCAAGAAATACTTAAAACTGAAAAAGCAGCTTGGTCTGTTTAAAGTATCTTATTCTATGGTTTCTTACGATAATTATTACATTTTAGAAGACAGCACAGGCTTTGACAGAAAAGGAGAAAAGAATGAAAATTCAGGATTCAGTTTACTTTAAACTGATACTACGTCACCTTGTTCCCAACCCAGTATAATACAGATGACAGCCTTAAAATATTACTAAATTATAATAATCAAAATATTTTTGATGAAATATTTCATTTTAGTCCATAATGATTTTAAGAACTTTATAAAACTAGGCACTAAAAGGGGCTTCACAAATGAGGCATTTTAGAGGAAAATGAAGAATAAAAAGAAAACTGTCCTTAAAATACTTACAGATTCTTTTCTGCCCATAGTTTTGCTGTGTGAGCGCGATCGGGAGATGTTGCTGAAAAAGGAATCCTTCTTAGCAGCAGATGAAGGTGGGGAGCCGGTGAACTCTCTCCCTCCAGGCAAACTCTCAATGCTCGGAGAGGAACTGATGTTTTTAGAACTTTGTCCTAGAAGAAAAATTCAGTAGCAATAATGAAACACCAGATGCTTTCACTGCTACTTAATTTACTGCTTTTAATAAATGATCAATATTATGATACTTCTTTATGCACACCATCAACATAATGACTCCATGGAGTATTAAGATGCATGCCTTTTTATGTATCAGAATAGCTGCCCATTTTTTTTAAACAATGAAGGACTGCTAGAGTTTTCTACAAATTATTTATACTACAGTGGTCTAAGTGTGTACACATATTACAAAAATGGAAAAAAAAATCCAATTTCAGAAATCATGGATCAAATGACTGGATTCTCCCTTACTGATGTTATCACCCTTAATAACAGAAAGTGAAAGTCACTCAGTCGTGTCTGACTCTTTGCGACCCCAAGGACTATACAGTCCATGGAACTCTCCAGGCCAGAGTACTGGAGTGGGTAGCCTTTCCCTTCTCCAGGGGATCTTCCCAACCCAGGGATCGAACCAAAGTCTCCTGCATTGCAGGTGGATTCTGTCTCAGCTGAGCCACAAGGGAAGCCCAAGAAGACTGGAGTGGGCAGCCTTTCCCTTCTCCAGGGGTTCTTCCCGACCCAGGAACCAAACCGGGGTCTCCTGCATTGCAGGTGGATTCTTTACCAACTGAGCTACCAGGGAAGCCCTTCTATTATTAAGCCCTTCTTAATAATAAGAAGCCAGAAACAATTATGTGGCGAGTATATTATTAATAAATTGGAAAAATAAATCCTCCACTGGTTTTTCTAAAGCGTCTCTTTCATTTTCATTGTTTGCAAACAGGGACACTGCTACCCCGGCCCAAGGGAGCAGCGTCTGGAGAGGGGCGGGTGTGGGCTCACAGGGCCGTGTCCAGACTGGTCCAGGGGAGCATCTGGGACTCCCCCAGGGCCTTCCCCACAGGCTCCGGGGCGGCGAGGCTCCCAGGCAGGAGCACGGGCTCCACAAAGTCCTGCTGGGAGCGGAGGACAAGCGAACAGGACCGGCTGCAGCCAGAGCCACGCAGGGCTCTCGGGTCCCATGGGGACACTTCTGGAAGGCTGTGATGGGGACTTAAGGACCTGGCACAGCGCCCTCACTCCTTCATTCGTTCACTGATCCACAGTAACTAAGGGCCTCGTAATAAGCACCAGACACGCAGGGGACAGAGACACAGGTGAAATGAAACTGTCAGAAATCCCACTCCCCAAGGTGCTCAGTTTCCAGTGAGGGGAGACAGACACAGACATTCAAAACACACGCACAGTTTCACATGGCATCACATGGCAGAGAACATGGTGGGCACAGATAAAGCAGAAAAGGTGACTGAGAGTGTCTGAGGAAGGTGTGGAGTTTGAAACAGGATGGTCAGGGAAGGCATCACTGAGAACTGAGATGCAGGATGTTTGGGCAAAAACTCAGAGAAGGGAAAATACCAGCTCTGCAGATAATATGAAGGGACAGCAGGTGCCACGGCCCCAAGCAGGGCCTCAGTGGTTTGGAGGACAGCAGGGTAGCCAGCGGGGCTAAAGCTCAGCCTGGGGGAGCGGGCTGAGGTCTGGGAGCCAGTAGGGCGTCCTTCCTGGCAGGAGGGGGATCTGTAGAGTTTTGATGACTTTTACTCTGAGAAGGGAAGCCAGTGGAAGCAGCTAGAGGATTTGGGCAGAGGCATGACATGGCTTGACTTAATTTTCAAGGGATACCTCTGACAGGTGCGTTGGGAACAGTTTAAGGGTGGGAGAGAGGAAAAAAAAAAAAAAAGGCAGGGAACAATTTCGCCACTGCAAAAATCCAAGTCAGCCAACTGACCGTAGCTTGGTGGTGAGAAGTGGTCAGATTCTACACAAAATGGACTAGATTTACCTATAAACCCACTAAGGGTATGAGAGGGGGAGAGGGCTCAAGTGTAACTGCAAATGTTCTAAAATTAGACAGTGGCCAGAGTCGAGCACCTCCCATCCCAATGCCCAGATTTGGTTTTCTTGTTGGGTTTTTTTTTAGTGACTTCCCTAAGCTAATTCTGTAAAGTCTATATTCCTTGCGTGTGCCCCTGAAGTCTTTGCTCGGTTAGCTAAGGGGTCAGGTAAGGGACAGGAATTCCCTTTCCTTAAACACCTTGAACCAGCCATCTCTGAGCCCCTGCTGGGAGCTCTGTGCCTGCGATGAGGCAGTTTACAATTCAGATCCAGTCTTCCTTCTTGTCTGTGCAGAGACTGAAGTTCATCTGACAAACAGAATGTTTCTTAGATCACCCCTGGGCTTGTGACCAGTCCTGCACATGTGTGGCCTTCTAGGTTCCTAGGAACATACTGGAGCTCTCCAAAACCTCCAGTGGACATCCCATTCCTTAGATTTCCCTTTTAGGTTTCCTGCTAGCCTCTGGTTTTCCTGTTAAGCTTCCGGTCAGTCTCTGGTTTGCTCCATGTCCACCTTGGGCAGCTGTGATGTTCAGTATTTCTGATGGATGCTCTGTGGATAGGGTTTTTCCCTAAGTGAGTTCTGATTAAAGTCAAGTAAAGACAAGCCCTAAGAGCAAGATTTCTTTCGTGGGAGCTGCTGGAACTAGTGACCATTTACTGGGGATGGGACTTTCAGGGTGTTCCAGATTCATTCTTTTCCCCCAGTGGTTGCAAAGCTGCTGGTCAACGAAGACTATAGCAGATCTGGGGGAGGGGGAGGGTGGAAACAGGGGAAGTTAAAATGGTACAAAGCATGCTATTATTTCTGAGATTGAGCCATTTTTGTCTTGAATAGATGCTCCTCACATTGACTCAGTCCTTTAATTGTTAGAGTTCTGAACAAGTTGACTTTGGTGTTTCTGCCATTACTGCTGTTTTATTTATGGAGAAACAGATTTTGGCAGAGGTCCTTCTTCTGTTATTCCAGAAGTCCACCCCTCTGTAACTTACTTTTTGGACTTGCTTGGTCATAAAAATTTATCTTTGATTTGTATAAAAATCAGCTTACCCTTTCTAAGGAATGTGAGGAGAAAAAATTTGTAGTGTTCCTAACTACTTAGCGTTTTTCTAATTTTTCGCCTTTGTAAACAAAATGACAGCACTCTACAGAGGCACGTCTTTTTGGGTGAGTTAGTCATCTCTATAAGGTAACTTGTATATGCACAACTGCTGTGTCTAACGGCATGTCCATTCTAATTTAGATAAATGGTTCCAAATTGCTTTCTCCTAGGATTTTAACATGAGCTTCCCGGAGAGCTCAAACAATAAAGAATCTGTCCACAATGCAGGAGACCTGGGTTCAAGCCCTGGGTCGGGAAGATCCCCTGGAGAAGGGCATGGCAACCCACTCCAGTGTTCCTGCCTGGAGAATTCCATGGACAAAGGAGCCTGGTGGGCTACAGTCCATGGACTCACAAAGAGTCCACGACTGAGTGACCAACACACACACACGGGATTTTAACAGAAATATATGTGAATAATATATGTTTATACACAAGTGTATACACATGATGCATTAAGTTTTTATTTATTTGGTTAATCTGATGGAAGGAGGGCTTCATTATGTTAGTTAAGGTTTCTTAATAACCAGTGAGGGTGAATATCTTTAAAAAAACAGTCTTAACCTACTAATATAGGCCATCTGAAGGTCATATGTGAATTGTCTCTGTTAGTTTTATTTTAAAAAACTGTCTAATGGAGTTCTTCATGCACTGGAGGAGGAAATGGCAGCCCACTCCAGTATTTTTGCCTGGAGAATCCCAGGGACGGGAGCCTGGTGGGCTGCCATCTATGGGGTCACACAGAGTTGGACACGACTGACGTGACTTAGCAGCAGTGGAGTTCTTCCTAAATTCTAGAACGTAGCCCATTTGTATATATGCGTGTGTGTCTACGTTTTCTTTTTCTATTCTGTTTTCAGGGTCCTGCAAGGAGGGCATTTCTTACCCAAGATGATAGAGTCGAAACAATTTAAGTATGTGCTATAAACCTAGGATTTTCCTTTTATGAATATTTTCTCTTTGTTCCTTGGAACTGCACTCCTTAAGAAGCTTTTATTGCCCTGGGATGGTGGAAGATAAAGCTAAAACAGAAACAATGTTTGCTCAGCTTTGAGTTTCAAATTACTTCTAAAAGACCCATACAAAAAGGAATCTAAGACACCAAAGCATTCTGATTCACAAGAACATGTCTTTTTCACAAAATGAAATGAAAAACTTTCCTATCTTTTCCAAAGTTTATACAACCAAATTTATCTGTCCCTTCAAAATTTGGGTCATTCGCCTATAACATTCGCTGGTGCTGATGACTTTTTAAAGTTATTACTATAATGGCACTTTCAGATGTTTTCCTATGCTAATTCCTCTATTAACATAAAGTAACCCTACTTCTTCCTGGGTCAAATTTGAGAATTCATATCTTCCCCCGCAAAGCCATGGCAGGTGGAATAAAGCCTATGCCCTTCATCTACAGGGTCTGTAAGTGTGCTAGTTTACATGGCAGAAGAAACGCTGTAGGCGTGATTTAAGAACCTGGGAAGCTGAGCTGGGAAGAGTGTGCTGGGTGACAGTGGTGTGTTAGTGTGAACAGGGGTCCTTAAAGTGAAACAGGAAAGCAGAGGAAGGGTCAGAGATGTGACTACAGAAAACGAGGCAGCTGAAGACAGAGAGAGCTGACCTGCTGGTGCTGGCTTTGAAGATGGAGAAAGGGATATGAGTCAGTGAGAGTCCTCGAGAGCTGCGAATGGCCCACCGCTGACAGTCGGTGAAGAAATGGGGACCCTGGTTCTACAGTCACTAGGAACCAAATACTGCAAACAGCACAAACGATTCTCCCCCAAAGGTCTCCTGATACATTGGCTTTAGCTTGGTGAGACCTAAATCAGACCTCTGATCTCCAGAGTTGTTAAATAAGTTGGAAATTCTCATTATTACTCCTTTTTTTTTCTTTTTTCTTTTTTAAATTATACTCTACTTATGATCTCTAGATAGCAGAGGAACCATCTTTAGATGGCGAGGAACCAGAGACCAAATTGCCAACATCCACTGGATCATAAAAC